GGGGGGGGGGGGGGGGGGGGGGGGGGGGCTCGCATGGCCTCATTCATTGCTTCTTCATTCATATATCCATCCCAGTCTAATTCATCCCTTTATTCCCCCCTTCCTGCCTCCTCTCCGCTGCTGTCTCCCTCGCTCTGTGTTGCTCCGGGTTCGAGGCCCCCGTGATGAGCTGGTCGACCTGTGGCTCAGCCAGATGGACCCCCATCTGGGAAAGTACACCTATTAGCAGGGGCTGCTTTGATTCGGGGAGGGGGGGAGGAGGGGGGTGTCTTCTGCTCTCATTCAAGGGTACAACAGCAGCGCCCTCCAGTGCAAGAGCGTGGGACCTTCAAGCTGAGAAGCTGCCAGGCAGACAGGAGCTGGGGAGGCGGGTCGAGGCCACAGGGAGATCAGGCTGAGCCACCGTTCAGCATGACCCATCACTTCCTAAAGAAGGAGATGATGTCACTTCCGGGAAAGAAGGGACTACTATGAGGAATACCGAGAGATGATGTCATATTGACGTAAGATGTCTGACCACTCAGGGACCCAGTCTCATACCGGTACAGGGTCAGCCTGACTCTAGAGCGATTGGAGGTTAGGGGCCTAGCTCAGAAAACCTGACCAATCAGGGACCAGATCTCATACCGGTACAGGGTCAGCCTGTCTCTAGAGCGATTGGAGGTTAGGGTCCTAGCTCAGAACTCCAAAGGTGAAATCTGTCAACCCTGGGATTTGGACCAACAACCTTCCGATCACAGGAACAATGTCCTGCACTATTGAGCCATGCCACCACAGTTGTAAAAACCTGACCAATCAGGGACTAGATCTCATATTGGTATAAAGTGTCTGGCCAGTCTCGGACCCTGTCTCATACTGGTATAAGGTGTGCATCTGACAGCAGGGTGCAAAAAGTGTTCCAAAGTGCCTCCGACTCCATCCGCTTCAAAGCAGAAAGAGCCTTATCACTGAGGTCAGACGTGTTCCGTCTTTCCCGGGAACACCCAGGGTCGGCGGGGGGGTTCCTGCTCGCTAGATGCTGATTAGATTTCCCCTTTATTCCCAATCGAACAGGCGACAGTTGGTTGAGGGGGGGTGGCTTGCTTGGGATCGCGGTGGGGGGGGGGACACTGTATAAGGAAGAAAGGAATGTCATCATCCTCACCTGGTGATTGGCATGTGGACAGCGAGATGATGGCTGGACCATCGACAGAGGTTTTTCTGGTTGCCGTGGCAACAGCTGAGTGATTGCAGAAGCAGAATGTGAATTAATTAGTGTCTGAATGGTGGGGGGGGGGCTATGAAAGGCTGACAGAGTCAGTCCGTGTCAGGAGCAGACGTGGGGAGCAGGGCATACTGGGATGGGCCGCTTTCAGAGCGTGTGGGGATGGCAGGAGGCAGTAGGGAGGGCAGGGGTGGGGTTGGTGTGGGGGTGCAGGACTCACAAAGACCCAGTGACACACTCTGATGCCACAGAGTAGCGGGTAGGACCATGTCAGAGGCAGGCCAGCAGGGGGCGACGGGGTGCAATTCTGTAACCCAGACGACATGAGGCACGACTGAATTGTGAGACTCGCTGGGTTAATCAGTTACAAGCTCCAGTCATCGATTTGCATCTTGGTTACGCCCCATAATGCCTTGTGGGGGGGGGCGCTGGGTCCTCCTCTCTGATGACCCTGACCCCCCCCCCATCCTGAACGTGTCTTTCTTCTATGGCTGGTCTTGCCCTTGGTAATACTGCAGATTAATGCCCCCCTACTGTGGTTCAGAAGGAGCAGGTTTGTAATTATACCTTTGTGGGGGCTCTCCATTCATTTCTGTGGGGAAAACTCTAATCCCAACATGACGACCTTTACCCCTACCCAGCCCTAACCTTAACCATAAGTTACAAACACACACACGGACACACGGACACACACACACGGACACGCCCAGGCACCTGTCATGCACTTACGCTGCTTCGCTGTCTCCTTCCCGTCTGAGGACCCGGCAGGGCTTGATTCCGGTCGGATGTGGTACCTGGAGGTGAGGCACGCAGATCCCAGATCTCCTGGGGAAAGAATCTTTAATAAAGAAGCAAACTGTCATAATATTCAACACAAGATCATTTCTATTAAATGCCCCTCAGAGACTCGCTGTCTCAGGTTCTGCTGAGTTACAGTTCAGGTGCCTTTTAATATCCGAGCTTGGCGGGGGCTGCCTGCACCCCCCGGCCCCCAGGCTGACGCATTCACAGCGTAATGCGGGTAACGACAGCGTGTCCCCCCGCTGCGGACGTGGAGCCTCTCAGTCTGACGTCTGGGGGTACGGTAGCCGGGTCGGGAGTAGCCAGCTAGCGGCTTCCCAGAGAGCCGTGGGAGTTTCGGATCTACGGTACAGCAGCAGTGGCCGCAAAGCTGGCTCCGCCTTCATCGAAAGGAAAGGAAAGCTCATGAGGACAGGAGGGGTGAAGACACGGCCAGAGCAGGTGAAGGAGGGTTAGGCACTGAGTCGCAGCCAGATAGCACAGGTGCTACTGGCTAAGGTGCTTTGTGTGCAGACCGACACACACACTCCATCGTGCTAACGCTAATGCTAACCCTGCTCTTCCACGTTTTGGGTGTCATTAGTTGTTCATCTCCTCAAACAAAGACTCTCTCCATCTCTCTCTGCCCGTCCGCCCGTCTGTCTGCCCGCCTCCTGCACTCAGCTCACTTTCCACTCACTTTCCACTCACTTTCCACTCTGCAAAGTCGCCCCGTCACGTCCTGCACCAAGCCGCCATCCGGGGTCCACGTGGCCCCGTCGCTGAGAGCCAGCTAGCAGCATAGACTGAACAGCTGAACAAAAGCGATGGTGGTGAATAGCAGGAAGTTTGAAGGAGCACAAATGAGTAATGAGTAATGGTGCTCTGTAGTATTTAATTCAATCATCTGGGTTATTCTTGTCCTAATATGAGAAAAACACGTCTGCATTACTCACAGCTGAAGCCACTACTTTCTCCCTTGTACCCAGGGCCTCTTTGCTCTACCACTCCTATGTCTCTCCTGCTTCCCCTGAGTTTCTCACTGCTGCTGGTCCAGAGGAACCAGCTGAGCCGAGGTTATGGTCCATCAGCAATCGCCTGAAGTTCCACAGAGGCATCACGCATCCTCTTTCTTTTGCTTAATTGAGGCTTTTGTCCATTTACTGCTTTAACCGTGTTGTTCCGATGATTCGGAGGGAACTGAAACTCGCACGTGACACATTTATCCCGGAATCTGCACCCATAACAGAGGTGACCTGCTCAAAGAGGTCATGTTGGTTGGAAGGAGCATTGCAGAAGCTTTGGTCTCCTGATGGAGGATTGGACTTTCACCACGTGTGACCGCAGCCGGAGGTGGGGCTGGTCTGGAACCAGGCTTTGGTGCCAAGGTCACCTTGAGCATGCAGCAGATGCTGTTTCCCGCAGAACCTGTTTGGGTTTGGGTGAAAGGGCCTCAGACATCCTCAGAGCTGGGGGGTAAACACAGCATCCAGTCTGCAGGGCTGCCAGTGACCGGATTCGAACCCGTGACCGCCCCCCTCCTTGTGCTCTTAGTCCTCGTCCATCTGCCGCACGCTGATTTCTCTCAGTGGTTGAAGTTTGGAGTCAAGCTGGATCCTGTCTCCTTTTTCTCCTCCCTCTCTCTCACCCTCCATCCCTCTCTCCCCCACTGTCTCTCCCTCTCTCTCCCCTATGCTCCCTTTCACTCCCCCTTTCTCTCCCTCTCCTTCTGTCTCCCTCTCTCTCTCCCTCCCTTCCTCCCTCCATCCCTCTCTCCCCCACTGTCTCTCCCTCTCTCTTCCCTATGCTCCCTTTCACTCCCCCTCTCTCTCCCTCTCCTTCTGTCTCCCTCTCTCTCTCCTTTCCTCCCTCCATCCCTCTCTCCCCCACTGTCTCTCCCTCTCTCTTCCCTATGCTTACTCCCTCTCTCTCCCTCCATCTCTCTCTCCCCCACTGTCTCTCCCTCCCTCCCTCTCTCTCCCCCCTCTCTTCATCTTCCTCTCCTTCTCTCCCTCGTCTCCAACCTCCTGCAGCTCCAGCCCTAAGGACGCCTCAGCGACGGTGGGGAAGGTGCGTGACCTGGCCTCATTTCGTCGCCATTTTCGAATGGGCTTCCTGACCATGCCCGCCTCTCAGGACCTCTCCCCCCGGCCCTGCGCCTCTGCCATGGCCCCCCGGTCGCAGTCCTGCCACTCCGTGGGCACAGGCAGTGACGACGGGGGCCTGGAGAACGGCGACTTCCCGGGGCCCCGCCCACCTTCTGCTGACCGCCGCCCCCCGGCTAAGCCCAAGCGCCACCCCAGCACCCGCCTGAGCTCACCCGCAGACCCCCGTGGTGTGGGGGCGCCCAAGGATGCCCCGCCCCCACTGCCTGCTGCCTCACAGCTACCCGGTCAGCATCTGGACAAGAGAAGTGGTGAGGGGGCAGGGCCAAGGGCATGTCAGTCATGTGACTCATTCACAGTTCCTGTCTGGGATTTGTAATTTTTCAGCTTTGTTTTAAAGCTTCAGCTCTGATGCTAATCATCAGGACAAGGCATTAGTCATTACAGCTAACAAGGGCTCAGTAAGGTAAAATGTGGCTTATTTGTGGGACCGACTAAAACTTTTGAATGTAGTGGGGTTGGTGCTTACTGCAGTGAAAATGCAACGCCCTGAGAAGTTTTCAGTTTAACCCTTTGTGCCTGAGGGGAGGATTTGTGATGGACACCCCCATATGGAACGCTGAGATAAATCACAAGTGCAGCCTGTTAATTTGCACCTGAGGGAGATTATTCACACAGCCAGAAAAGCGCAGGGAGGCCTTCACCTGAAAAGCTTAAAAATGTACTATTTTTCTATTTTTATTATCATTATTTTTGGTTTATTGGCTTATATTTTCCGTCACGGGCAGAAGGCCCTTCCCTGGTACCTATGGCATTTCCTGTGTGGCATGCTGGGTAATTTCCTGTGTGGCATGCTGGGTAATTTCCTGTGTGGCATGCTGGGTAACTTGGATGATGCTCTTTCTGTGTCCCGCAGCCATGAGTAAGTCTGACTCGGGAGACATGCTGGGCCGGAAGGTTCCACCGCTCAAGCCGAAACGGAGCCCAAACACCCAGCTCTCCTTTGAGCCCCCACCCCCCAGGGCACCGCCCCCACCTGCTCCGCTGTCCCGCCCCGCCCAGGAGAGAGCGGGGCCGGCGGAGGACACCGGCGAGGAGGAGGACGAGCCAGTGTACATCGAGATGGTTGGCCAGGTGTTTTCCCGGGAGAGTCGCGCCGTCACCCCACACCCTGCCCCCGGCCCCACTCCCCCAGCGGGGGCCACCACCCCCGACTCAGACTCGGATCAAAGCGAGGCCATCTATGAGGAGATGAAGTACCCCCTGGCGGAGGAGAGTGACCCACATGCTCACCTCCCACACAGACACGAGCGGCTGCGGCACCACAAAACTGCCCACCCAAAGGCCGCACCTTGTGCCTCCTCGCCCCTCCCCCACCCCCCCTCGCACGCTAAGCCTAAAGCTGCAGTCTCCATCTCCCACTCCTCCCCATTACCCTCCTCCACCTCCTCTACCCCCGTTCCCACACCCCTCTCCTCCAGCCCTCAGCCCCCCCGTGCTCCCACCCCTTTTCTCCTCCCGGCTAACAAGACCCAGACGGACACCAGTAACAAGATCCCGGCTCCTTTCCCCAACCTCCTGCAGCATCGCCCCCCCCTGCTGGCCTTCCCCCAGCCTGCGGCCGCTTCCAGCGGAGTTGGGGCCCAGCTTAAAGCTGGGTCCTCTAAAGGGGCTCCCACCCAGGTCACCTGCAGCATGACCCCCCCATTGAGCACCTCCTCCAGCTCCAAACTCCCTGTCCTTCAGCTGGGCCCCAAAGACTCCTCTGGTGGTGGGGAGAGGCAAGCAGACAAGAAGGAGGCGCTGCTGGGCCCAGCCCCCGGGCTTCGGGCTCGGAGCCACTCCACCCCCCTGCCCCCATCCTCCCAGTCCTCTTCGCACCACTACTCCCACCACCACTCCCACCGACCCCCCTCCCACTACCACCATTACCGGCGGCCTGACAAGGAGCTGCCCACCTCCCACAGCATGAAACTGGGCTCCCAGTCCTCAACGCAAACCCAGACTCCAGTTCAGGGTGGGAGCAAGGACGCCAAGGGCGTCAGCTTCTTGCTGAAGTCCGAGAAGCGGGACAGGGAGAGGGACACAGGGACCCCCGCAAGCACGGGGTCCCAGGCCACCCCCAGCGCCAAGGTCAGCTTGAGCTCTGCCCCCTCCCCTTCTTTCGTCTCCTCCTCCACCCAGCGTTCCTCCTCCCGGCCCCTGCTGCAGCACCCTCACTCCGCCCACCCTCTGTACCACGCCCTCCCCGCCTACCGCCCCCCCCCCTCGGACAGCCCGCTGCTATGGACCTACCCCTCTGCAGCACTCAGGAGGCCTCCGGCCTACGACAGCTTGCGGGGCGGGGCTACGGACGGCTGTGCCCAACCCGCCCTGCAAGGGAAAAGCGGGAGCTTGTCTCGGGATGGGGGCGTGTCCGGAGGCGGGGCCACAACAGACGAGGGAGCCTATTGGCCCATGCAGAGGAAGATGTCCTTCAGTCACAGCAACAGAGAGACAGAAAGTGAGTAACGTGCTGGACGGTCCAACCGGACGGGGCCAAGTGTAGTCAGGGTGAACTGCTATAACCGTACTGGTTAGCTTTCCCTATAACTGGATCCAGTTATAGGACCCAGGCAGGCAGGCTGGTTAACGCAGTCCCTCCTGTGACCAGCAGGGGGTCTCTGCCTCCCACCTGAGCTGCAGCACCAGGTGAATGAAGGAGCGCATTTGCATTTCGTGTGGAAAGACGCTGCTGTCTTTGGACATGAATAATTACCAGCGCTGCCTATGAATAATAGGCTGCTTTGAATAACGAATCATGAAGAGTCTGAATAATTAGCTGTGCAGACTGTGAATAATGATGCTGCTTATCCACGAACAGCAGGACCCGGCTAACGAACACTGCTCTCTCTCTCTCTCTCTCTCTCTCTCTTTCTCCCTCTCTATCCCTCGCTCACTCTCCACAGAGGAGGATGGCCAACCCGGGAGTGGTACTGCGGACAGCCGGGCCCGGTTGGACCGGGAGGACCGCGCCACACTCTCCGGTATCCCAGTGCGGTCTGGGGGAGGGGGAGTGGTGGCAAGTGGGGCCAGCGAGAGCACAGGAGGCACAGGGAGGGGCCCGGAGCCGCGGGCCCTGGCCAAGTCCGGCCTCCCGCTGCCCTGCCAGACGTTCCCAGCTTGCCATCGGAATGGAGGTGAGGACGGCAAAGGAACGTTCCCCTGACCAATTACAGCTCCCTTCCCGGCTGTCGGCGGTAATCAGATTGGTACGAGAGTCCCAGACGTGCTGTGATTGGCCAGGGGAGGCCGACACAGACCGGCAGCTGCTGCAGAAAGCACTGCGTCAGCAGCCTTGGGGCTCAGGCCTCGCTGCAGCACACGTATCTGAGGATGCTAACGTTAATGCTAACGCTAATAAGGACACTAACACTAATATTAATGCTAAAAATAATGCTAACTTTAATGCAAATGCTAATGATAATGTTAACGTTAAAGCTAACGTCAACATTAATCACAATGCCCTTTTTGCCCAATTTGAGAAAGAAGCTACAGCTGTAGAGACTGAATGGCCTGTTCTAACACTCAGTATTCTGTGTGTGTGTGTGTGTGTGTGTGTGTGTGTGTGTGTGTGTGCACTTGTCCCCACTGTGTGTGCAATTCAGAGCTGGGCCGCCTTGGTCGTTCCTCCTCCACCTCCGGGGTGCGACACGGCAACAGTAACATGCAACGCCAGGGCAGCCTGCCCCCCCGGGAGGGGCTGAGCCAGGTGAGTGAGTCCCACTACCATGGGGGGGGGAGGGGGTGCCATGCATTGACAAGAGCCTGCTCTGTCCCCATGAATGGGCTATAGCTGGTTGACCCTAAAGGGTTAACGACTGGTATGAATATTTTGGCATGAAATTTATGCAAATTTTTATGTCTTTTATTGTTTAGTTTTAGAAATAATTAAATATTAGGATTCCCCCCCGCCCTGTTCTGCAACAGGACTAAAGAGACTTGCCACCCCCCCCCCCCAAACAAATACATATCCTCTTCTGGAGCTAAGTGGAATTTCAGCGCATGTCAGGCTGCGTTCCCTTGCAGGCAGAAGTGACATGCTGCNATCTGATATTGCATGATAGGATACTGTTTACGGTCATGATATGGTATTCTCCAAATCGAACATGTGCAGTTACATTTATAACTATTAATACATTTAACCAAATAAACATGTTTAAAGATTTATAAAATAGAATTACTGTTGAGTGTATAAGCCGCCATGTTGAAATGACATCACAGGGGCAACTTGGACAACAAAATCTTGTCCGACATCAACGTCATAAAAGAGGCGTGTTTCCGATGGGAAGTGACGTTTTTCATGACGTTTTCATCCGAGTTCCGACTCGGAGAGAGATAATCGAACACACCATTAGCTGCTAACCCTCCCTCCCCCCCCAAACAAATACATATCCTCTTCTGGAGCTAAGTGGAATTTCAGCGCATGTCAGGCTGCGTTCCCTTGCAGGCAGAAGTGACATGCTGCCGTTTCCGTAGTAACCTGCCACCCAGAAGCTCCCTAGGTAGCTCAGAGACACATTGTCTGCCCATTTGACCTTCCTGCATGCGCAGCCAGCGCTGTGGCAGGGTGGAGTGACACCTGGTGGTGACTATGGGCACTGCAGGCCCCGTGAAGCCAGGGCAGGTGAGGCTTAGGGGGTCTGGGCCACTTGGTGACTTTAAGACTTTTTAACTCTTATTCTTCAGAAGTTTGCATCAATTTATCAAACTTGACATTCGCTAAACATGAGAAGTAACAAAAACAGCAGTAACAATATAAGAAATGCAGCATTTTCTGTCTAAATTTGGTATATATACATTGGCTTCTGATGTTTAATTTTGTTCCTTATGTTCTGTATATTTATCCTCCTGTTGTTCTCATGCCACCTGGCCCCTGTCCCTATCATGGTGACAGTACACAGACATCACATACTAATAGTCAGTGGTTTGAGCACCAGATGTCCCTTTGAAGACTTGTGTGCTACTGGGGGCGTTTTTGTTGACTTTGATGTGCCCGCCCTGCCAGGCCGTGGTGATTGGGAATGGCGGCGTTGTTTGTTCACTCTCTGGTTTCAGTCCAATCACCGCTTGTACACCCACCTCTCCACACGTTGCCCCCTTTGCATCTTATAGTGCGTTCGTTTTTCTCTCGGAACGCGGAAATTCCGAGTTGAGTGACATCACGTCCGGCAATCTCCCGTTCGAGCTACCACATCTCGGAACAAACATGGCTGCCTCCATGAACACGCAGCTGTGTGTTGTTGCTTTATATTTTAGCAGAGTTGGAGTGAGATTATTTTTTCAGAGAGACAAACAAACAAGAAACACGAACTAGTCAAACCGCATTAAAAGCTTTATAAAATATTTTAGTACATTCATAGCAATATTCTTTTTTCGAGAGGCAAACAAACTACAAACAAACCAAAGACACTAACAATTCTGGTAAAAATCTGATATTGCATGATAGGATACTGTTTACGGTCATGATATGGTATTCTCCAAATCGAACATGTGCAGTTACATTTATAACTATTAATACATTTAACCAAATAAACATGTTTAAAGATTTATAAAATAGAATTACTGTTGAGTGTATAAGCCGCCATGTTGAAATGACATCACAGGGGCAACTTGGACAACAAAATCTTGTCCGACATCAACGTCATAAAAGAGGCGTGTTTCCGATGGGAAGTGACGTTTTTCATGACGTTTTCATCCGAGTTCCGACTCGGAGAGAGATAATCGAACACACCATTAGCTGCTAACCCTCCCTCCCCCCCCAAACAAATTCCACCCCCACCCTGTGTTCATATTGCAAACGCTTTCTGTTCTTGCATCACATACCCTTAATCCTTCACTTCATTATTCTGATTAGCCTGTCGGCTGTGCCTTCATGTCCCTCTTTTTCTCTGCCCCCCCCCCCCCACCACCAGCTCCAGACCCAACTGCAGGCTGCACCACCCAGCACGCCCCCCCTTTCCCACCAACAGCAGCAGCTCCAGCTGCACCAGCAGCTCAGACTCCAGCTGCAGTACCAGCACCTGGCCCAGCTGGCGCAGTGCCAGCCTCCCACCACCGGGGGCAGCGGCACACCACCGACCCAGGGCCAAAGGGATGGCAAGCTACTGGAGGTGATAGAGAGGAAACGGTGCCTATGTAAGGAGATCAAGGCACATCGGAGGCCTGACCGCAACCTGTGCAAGCAGGACAGTATGCCCATCCTACCCAGCTGGAGAAGGACACCGGAACCTCGCAAGACGGGCACCCCTCCCTGCCAACCCCCGGCCGTGCTGTGGGACACCTCCATCTGAGGCGGGGTCGGGTCCGGGGTAGGGGGCAGGGCACAGAAGGGAGCCAATGTGTGAATGAAAGGAATTGGGGTTCGGGGGGTGTGGTCAGGAGAATGAGACACGATTGGATTGTGAGCACATGACGAGGACGGGACCCTGGCACCCTGGGTGGGCTCAGTTTGTGGTCCTTAAGCGGAAAACCCTCCCTCCAGCTGGACTGACAGAAGAGAGGACTTGGGAACGAGGGAGAGGAGAAGGAAAAGGAGGGATATAAGGAGTATGACCACAACACTGGTTTCCCGGTGCCATGTGACGTAGGAGCTGGACAAGGAAAGTGGTGCAGTTCAGGTGCTGGGGTCACAGCGGAGCTTATCAAGACGGAGAGACGGATGGAGACAGAGATGGACGGAGAGAATCGCCAAGAGCATCTCTTAGCCCGAGCCACCCGAGTTCACGCCAAGAATCTGTACAATCCTACCTTGTTTTTAAAACACTATCTATACTCTGTATCTCCTGCTGCTATAAAAGATGGCGGATTCAGCCGAATGCCTGAAAAAGAGGAGGCGGGTCTCAAAGAGGGTCCAAAGATAACGGAGGAGGACATGCGAACGTGAAGAGGAAGCCAACAGTCTCGCCTTCACCCATTCCAGGTTCATCCAGCGCCGGCCGATGGTGCAAGGAGTCACGTCCACTCTGCCACTCTGAGCAAGGGCTTGCATCAGCTAACTTGTCACCGACAGCCAGTCACAGCTCAGTTCCCCATCCGGTCACCCACAGCCAATCACGGCTCAGTTCCCCAGCCCGTCAGCGACAGCCAATCACGGCTCAGTTCCCCTTCCACGTTCTAGAAAGTCGCTGCTGCTCCAGCACGTGGAAGGAACTTAGACTCACATCTTGAATGCAGCCACCGGTCACCGACAAAGGAAACAAGTGCTTTTTGAACACACTTTGAATTGATTGTTTTGTACAAAATTGCCAAAAGTCTCCAGTTAGCTTAATCCTTAAGATTAAAATACCAAGCATACTCAGAAATTTCTTTTACTAGAAGAAGGTTGCTATTCCTTTTTGTTTGGTTTGTGAATGATATTTAAACTTAAGTGGGAATCAATGAAAATTTATTGGGGGGGGGGCGGCGGGGTGGTCCTGGTGTTAATGGGTGTAAAACACTGGGGTGGGTGGTCGGGCGGGAAATATGGGGAAAAAAGTGTAGATACTGTTTTGAGATGATACGAAAGTGTATTGGTTTGTTTCAGCGGATATTTCACAACTAAATACCATCTTTTAACGAGCAGCCGGACTACCGCAGACAGTAACTGATTTATTGATACCGGGCACAGTGAGTGTCTTTTTCGTATGAAGGTTTTCTACTTTTGGGAATTAATCATCAGACATTGTTCGGGACGGGCGTGTTGTATTCACGGCGTTATATCCCAGTGTCTTTAGGCTGCTGGCAGACGTGTCGTGTTCGCGACTACGTTAGATCAACGTCGTGAGAACGTTACGCGCAAGCGTTCGACGGCGCACGAGAACCGCTTCGCCACGTGGTAGGTGGGGACACTCTGCTGCACATTACAAATATAACGTTATGTGCAAAAACCTTTTATTACTCTTTACACAGTATAATTATGTTTTTTAATGATATATTTATTTTAGCACACTGCTGAAATTATTTTAGTCATATTAACTGTACAAAGAAATACAGAACCAGTTAAATGATTCCACAGACAACGTAGGCCTATTACAGAGTGTCTCTAAAATTGTTCTTTGAATTTCTATATATTGGACCGGCAAGGTATAATACAGTTCACAGATGTGACGTTTATCCAGAAATGTTTTTCGCTTGATAACTTCCCTTAGCGTTAGAAGTAGTCAGGTATAACTCTAAGGCAGTTTGCCACTCCGACTCTACAGTGTCAACACGCTGATCTGACCCCCAGTTGGACCGAACCTCTCTCACACCCGGAAATAACATATACAACCCGGTATAAATTCCCCCCGACCGGTCAAAACCACGTGAGCGGGGTTTCATACTATTTGTACCGGTACTTTCGGCTCGATGCACTCAAATCCCTTTGTGTAACAGAAAAGATTAATATTTGTGGATCTTTCACACCACGAAACACTGAAACCGTAATGAGGGAGAATGCTGGATAAACTCCAATGAAAAGTAATGTATGTTAGAATATCTCATAGAAATATACAAGGAATATATTTAAAATATATATGCTATATGCTAAACTATATTTAAAGTATCTATTGTCTATCTATTCTTGTCATATTTATAGATCTGAGTTATGCATTTATTGTACCATATATCATAACATCCCGACGGATTAAATCACATATTACTTTTTCAAGGGGGAATCGAGCAGCTCCGTGTTGGGAGTTTGAGCCGCGGGATGGAACCGCTCTTGATAAACAACTACCATCGTTGCTATAATTTTGTACCGTTTATACGCGTATTTATTTGCTATTTTAGCGGATGAATCTAGTTCCCATTTAATATTTGGAGTTTTTGAATACGTGTATCTTTGACTATGATTATCGTTACTGAAGAAATAATGATAATTTATATTATAATTATTGTTCCATATATAGAGCTATTTATGGTTTTTGTCTTTTTAAGGGTTGACGTTTGGAAAAATGAAGGGTACACCTCATTAATTGTACTTAGTGAATGTGAAATGGAATCCGGAGGGAGAAAAGAATACCGCGATTTATAGGCCTAGAAGTGGGCTTTCCTGGCTTACGGAGTGCAAATAATGCCAAAATGAATTATATCTCAGAAATATTATTGAAACGTGTCAAAATCGGTACATTCACGTAAAATGAAACGATGTAATTATTTCAGTCTACTTTTATTTAGGCCTACTTAATGTCCTCAACTTAAATTAAATTATACGGAAGACCTGCCCGTTAAATCTGATCTTGCACAGGTTTACAAATCCGACAGAGTTTAAACAGACATACATGCAACATGTATGTCTTGGGTGAATAAGAATAGACTGAAATGAGCGACACAAATCTGCGTGCAGGTGAAAGGAAACGGTGGGGCGTTTTGATGAATGTATGTGTGCGGACTGTATGCCCATTAACCGGGTCTGTTTACGCTCCGATTTTCCTTCCAGGGCTGATTCATTCGTGTCTAACAGTGTCTGTTGGCCGCTGCGTTTTGCTGCTTCTACCACGTTTTGTTTATTCCTGTTTATGTATTGTATCTCTTAAATTATAGATGAAAACAACACTGTAAAACGGCTTAGAAATGGGATCGCGACAATAGCTTAAGTTTTGGTGGCAAACTCAGGACGTCTCGTTTAATCGGGTCTAGTAAATAGAGTTTTCATAGTCCTTCTATAAGGAGGATAGGTCTCATTTAAACCAATGGCAATTTAGGGTAGGGTGCTGTCTGCCAATCAGGGCCGATCTATTGATAATAGGCTATTAATGATTGGCTATGTCCAGACTGTCCTTGGGGTTTATTTTCTAAAAAATGTAGGTTCGGAACAATGTTGCTTTTTATATTTATTGACGATTTTTGATAACAGAACTCAATATGTCGTTTCTCTGTGTTACATACAGTATGTAGATTATTTATAAACCAAGGCCTGAGTCCGGTCCGCTTCGCGAGCCTTCTGGTGTGCCCATTCGGATTTTCTTTATTATTTATCTTGTTCGCAATATTTTCCGGAAGTGTGAATCCAAACAAAAGTTTCTGCTTTTATCCATCTTGAGTCCCAGCCCTAGAGTGCCATATCTGTGACGTACCTGTCATGGATCCATAACTGCTGACATATACAGGCCGTTTACGAGGCACATGGGCACTATATGACGACACGTCCACGAGACGCAAATTTAAAAGTTATATAAACATAAAACATGATCTTGGTTTTCTGTCCGTGCCTTTGAAATCGCTGGACTTGCTCTCAGTAAATCTACCCAGGTGATTCTGAGAGCTTATCTCAGAAAACCTGCTATACAAATGGTCAGACACATGTAGTATAAAGCGTTGGTTAGTAGATGATCTTTCTGGTGAACACTAGGTTTATGAACTTGTGGTCACAGTTTTGTTTGGTGGAATGGTTGGGGTGGGGGGGGGCATGGTATTTTGAGGTCATCTTAACTGTGGGCTTTCCTGTAATTTTTGCATGAAGTTGGACTATTTGGTTGAGAATCTGTTTGCTGGATTTATGCAGTAAATCTCTGTGGTCCTTGTGGGAGAAAAAAATACAAAATGATACATTAAATCGGGAGTTCTGATGGCTTATTTCTTAATGTGAAGTTTAATAATCACCCTGACTCATATGGAACTCTTAAAGATGCCTTAGATATGATGATAAGATCATCAGGGTAGAATGACGATGAGCACAGGTTAGGAACTGAAATCATGCCATGGGTAGCACCGTCCACCCGCAGAGGAGACCAGGGACTGGTCAGGGGTGCTGCTAGAGGCTTTGGGCCCCATGAAAGTATATCATGTTAGGCTCCCAACTCAGATATATCCAATTATATTAACATTTTTATACGGACGTTTTTTAGGGTCTTTACAGTGCCCTCGACTCTGGTATGACATCACAGAGGCTCGGAGGACCGCTGTCAATGTAAGGGAAAAAAGAATCATGAATTATTTACTCTGATTAGAATCTGCAGGTCCTCCCCCCATTAAATACAAACATTTTATATGCTGCTGGTTATTGATCATAGTCTTGGAAGTGAGAGCCTCCAGTGGGAAGCTTCAAATAATAGACCAACTTAACCTGATCTTTCTCCTCCATCAATTACACAGAGAAAGGATCTCTATGGACTGCTCAGTTGTGAAGTACTATCTGTGAGTATAAATATTACAGTGTATTTACCTGTCTCTTCTCCCTCTCCGTCCCACACATGAAGTTCAGCCCGTTGCATCATGACCGGCATCGGAGCTACGCTTTTCACATTCGCGACAAGATCTTCCCATAACTGCGATCTTTTCGTCCAGCTAACTTTGATCATTCCTGTTGTAACATACAAAGGGCTCTATAATCCAAGGGGAACGTATCGGTACTACAGGCATCATAAAAGATTAATTTGGGTGAACAGGATCGATCTGACGTCGTGACGGGTGTCTGAGTCGCGGAATGTTCGTGTCCAGCATGATGCTGTCAGCCTGTTGTACCGGCTGGTTTTTGAGTGATAAAACCTTGCAATACATTTGCAGTCCTGAGGGGCTCCTGGACTCTGCCAAATTTAAAAAGCGTTCATGTTTCGGTCCAGCCCTCATGACTAAATAAAGGCACCACATTCGTATGTTATGGCAGCGTATTAACTACATGGTGTGACGGTTTATATAATTGTTAGGGTACTAATTTGTGTCTTTTGGATTGGGGGGGAGAGGCTGGACAAGTTTAGGTCTTAGCACCTTCCGCTACCGGTGATCGAAATCATCCTGGGACTTTTCTGGGAAAGTGTTGCATCTGGTTCTGTCCGTGAAGATGAATGAAGTAGACGTATTTCAGTACTTAACCCTATGAAGCATATTATCTCTGAATTACTGAAATGTTTGTTAGTATGAGCTGAAATAAAGCTTTTCAAGTGAACACGCCTCTGCCTGTTGATTGTTCCTGACAAAAAGACTGTTTGTTTTTGTATTTCTATTTTGTGAGTGATCAGTAAGAGAAAAATCTGTCCTAAAACTTGTCTTTGTCAGTGTATGTGTGTGCGTGTGGCCCTTCTCAATTAGCAACCTGAGAAGCCGGCAGACAGAACAGTCATAGGTTTCAGGGGGGGGGGTTGAGCTTATGAGATGAGTATACAGGGGCGGGGCCACAGGCCTGTGCTGAATGGTGATTGGTCCACAGAGTGCCCCTCCCCATCGCTCACTGATTCAAAACATATGGTAAGATAATGATAAGGTTGGTTCCTCTGACAGTATTATGGCCCCTTTCATGTCCCCCGCCTTAAAGAAAATCCTAGAAATCCCCCTGGGGCTCACACTGAACACCAGGTCCTGAGTTCAACACAGACCTGAGGAGGGCTAACAGCAGGGAGTGAGCAGATATAAATCACAAGGGATTCTGGGAAATGGGAGTGGCTTGTCACAGATTTCCAGCTTTTCGGTGACTATAGC